TTCCTCTGCAGATCTCTCCCTAATTCTCACCAGTCTTTCTTTATCTGACTCTGATTTCTAGTATAAATTACTTGCAATATTTACACCTTTTTCTCTTTGTCCCTCCCCCTACCTAATCCCTCCCATTCTCTATCCCTCTTGCCCCTCCCTGCTGACTCATGCTCCTTTTTCTTTTTTTGGTCCCTCTAGTTCTAGCTCAGCTTCCTGGTCTCTGTGTCACCCTGCTTTTTCCTGTCTTTTTTCTTAGTCTCCCAATTCCTCCTTCTCCCTTCTAGCTTGTGCAGGGTCATCTCATGATCTCCTGAGAAATCTTAAGAGATGAAAAACACCAGTATGAACCTAACAACAGACTGTATCAGCAGTATGCCCTGTTAGGAGGTTTCTAAAACAAACCCAGAAAAGCCTGCAACTACAACAAAGTAAAACATCCCACCTGGCCTCTTTGCTCACTGCCCCCAAATCAGCATATCCACAAGGAAAAAACATAGTTCCTTGCTTCCCACACATGCACTGGACATAGACCATGCTTTGAGACTGTTTTATGTAACCATGATGACCTTGAACACCATATAAAGTCAAAGATGACCTCAAATCTCTAAGCTCCTGCCTCCAACACAGGCTCACTGTGATGACCAGCATGTAACACCCTGCCAGAATTATGGTGTTGGGGATCAGACTGAGAGCTGTGTGTGTGCCCACAGCATCAACTTTTTCTTTTTTAGACAAGAGTTGATGATATAGCCAGACTGGCTTTGAATTTCTTATCCTTTCTCAGGCCCCTGACTACTGGGATGTAAGGCTTGAGCTGCTATGCCTGATTGAAATATGATCTTAATATGGGTATCCATTTCCTTGAATGTAAGAGCCCAGCATGCTAATCACACAATCTATTTCTCTGAGTTATTCTTGGACACTGTGAACTTCACATCTCTTTCTCTGTTTTTATGTATTTCTCGTTCTCCCTAATTGTATGTGTTAATGTGTGTATAAATGTGTGTATGTTTACATGTGTGTGTTTATGTGTATGTGTGTGCATGTGAATTTATGTATAAGTGTGTGTATGTGTGTGAATGTGTGTGAGTGAACGTGTGTGTGTGTTTATGTGTGTTTGTCTACCCATGGGCATCTCTCTCTCTTTCTTTGGCTGTGCACTCATGTCTCTATTTGCTATCTTCCTTCAAGCTCGTTCTCCCAGACTCACCCTGGTATTTCCGCAGTTCCTCCACCAAACATCGGGCTTCCTCCTGAATCCACTCCTCCACACTCCGCTTTCCCATCCCAAAGTCTCTCATAGTGGACAGAGAGAATCTTCGAAGGGTCTTCCAGCGATCTCCATTGGCAAAGATCACACCTGAGAAAGTGAGCAGGTCACACAGGAAGTTCAATGAAACCTGGGTCCTTCCCCGGCCCTTACCTTCCCCTCTTTCAGAACCACCTCTCTCTGTGCCCATTCTCCATCCTACTTCATCCCAACTTTGAGAGTCTTACCATAGTCCTTGAAGATTGGCTCAACCACAGCAAATGGAGCCCGGCCAGAGAAAGCCTCAGCTTGACCCAGCAGAGCCTCCTTTATGGTGTCTGTCCCACAGAGCATGACCACGGGCCTTGGTCCCAGGTACACTGTGAACACATCTCCATATTTTTCTTGAAGCTGCCAATCATAAAGGCACCAGGATAGGAGTTAGGCAGCACAGACATTGTTATTAAATTCTTTAAAATGCTTAGATAAAGACTGATAAACAGGCTGGCCCTGGCTACCCTTCCTTTTCTGAGGACCTAGAAATTTCAGGGTGATCTACAACCAGGAAGTTTTCCCTTGACTGGTAAGCAGTACTATGCTACTGTATGACGGTGGGTGCTGGGCTAGTATCATATGCTCAGCACTGGGAAATTAATAAGGAGGCTCAGGAATTCAAGAGTTTCTCTGGATGCTGTTGAGTTGGAGGCCAGCCTGGGCCACATAAAACCTTGTCTCAAAAATAAACAGGTTATAGATATAATATAAGAAAACTGATAATAAAACACTTCAATAAAATTGATAATAAAACAATTCAATAAAACTGAATTGATGTTACCAAGGATTCCCCAACCAATTTGCTTAGAAAATACTACATCGCACAAGGTAGCATTTGCTTAAGTGCCACCACTAACGTGACTTGGAGATAAGTAACAAACTAACCAGACTTGTTAGAATTTAGGAAAAGAATTGTGCATTAAACACAATTAAAGTTTGGGTGTGCTGAGAATATGAATCTGTTAAAATTTTTTTGTTAAGATTATTGCCAACTAGGCTCCATTTGCATATGAAAGAACATGGCTCTACTGGGCAGTTCAAAGGTGATAGCACTTGGTAACAACCACCATTAAGTCCTGATTCTTTTATAAGGAAGAGCAGAATTCTTTCAGGGGGGCAGAATGAACCTGGGTGTGATGGATTGAATAAGAATGGCCTACATAGGCGGACTTCCGGTTTGGGACCGAGCCTAGAGCAGGTCGCAGGCAACAGCTCCGTACCCAACCGCAGAAAACCAAGAAAAACAGGGACTCCCAGGAGCTTGAACTCACGCAGCATCCCAGGTAAAATTGAATCACCCGTGATGCCTGCTATTAGAAGTTCTAACCCAGATGGACCAGAAGCCAGGAGCCTCGCCCTTACCCTCACCCCCTACCTTTTCCCACCTGCACAAGATCCCCTGAAGCTGGGCAACTGCAAGATCCTGCTTGGCAACTGCAGATAGACTCAAAGCAGTGTACCATATCATCTGAAGAATAGCAGGGAGACCATAACTCAAGCAGTGTACCATATCTTCTGAAGAATAGCAGGTTGCAGTCCTCCTCGCCCCCACGAATAACCAGGACCCGCCGGTCGGGTCAAGTGGCACCCAGATGTGGGGCTCAAGGCACGGTCCCATCCGGACGGACCCTCTTTGAGAGGATGTGAGCACGACATCAAGATTGAGCAAGACAGAGATCATCGCTCGCGACCTGTCGTCCACGGAACCAGGTTGATGCTGCCATCAAGAAGGCAGTTGAAGTTCATTACCATCAGCTGAAAATTGCAGAGAATCCAGAAGTGACTCCGCAGGAGACTGACACAGCTGTCAGCTCCCCTGCCTCCCCCTACAGTCTACCCCTAGACTTCCATGCCCTCCAGAAGGGTTCCTGGTATGCCTGGCTTTGCCCTCATTTCTCTCGCTAGAGAGCTTGGCCTCTTGATCACCACAACAAAAATTGGCTTTTTCCTAAACCAAGGCCACCCTTGATATGGCCGCTAACATTGGGGAGCCTTCCTTTATGACAATATTACACCCCAAACTGACAAATGGTTGGTAACTTGAACATTTACAAGAGACTAGGATGGCTGTGAGTTAGCCCAATGACGGGATTATTGTAGGTCCACTTCCCAGGGGCCCACCCAATGCAGCCGAAAAGGAGTGCGTGGTGCTGGGAGTGGGTGCAGCCTACATGGCCTAAGACAGGGCCCTCACCCTCCTTTCACCCACATCGGAGTCCCTTGACGTTGCCCATCGTCGACAGCCTAAAACCTTCGACCATCGATGTGACTCGTCTCACATCAGTGTTTTGGGGTTGTGAACTTGTCTAAGACCCCCCATAATTAGACATCCAAATTCAAAATTCACATAGTTGGGATTGATCATAAGATGCCTTCTCTAACTAAACAGAGAAGGGGGAGATGCCAGAAGCCAGGACCCTCGCCCTTACCCTCACCCCCTAACTTTCCCCACCTGCACAATGTCCTCTGAAGCTTGGCAACTGCAAGATCCTGCTTAGCAACTGCAGATAGACTCAAAGCAGTGTACCATATCATCTTAAGAATAGCAGGGAGACCATAACTCAAGCAGTGTACCATATCTTCTGAAGAACAGCAGGTAGATCATAATTCAAGGCAGTGTACCGTATAGACCATGACATGTTTCAAGGCTCAGGCCAAGAAGATTTTGTACTTTTCCACCACCTGGCCCCTCTTACCCCCTCCCCTTGTAAAACATGCTATAAAAAAGCATTTCATGTTCAAAAATAAATAAATTATTCATAAAAAAAAAGAATGGCCTACATAGGCTTATATATTTGAATGCTTAGTCACCAGAAAATGACTCTATTTGAAAAGATTAGAAGAATTAGTAAGTGTGGCCTTGTTGGAGGAAATGTGTCACTGAGAGTGGGCTTTGAGATTTTAAAAGCTCATACACACTTGATCTACAGATCAAGATTTAGCTCTCAGCTACTGTCCCAGCTCTGACTATGCCTGCTCTATGCTCCTGATGTGATGATAATGAACTAAATCTCTGAGACTATAATCCAGCCCCAACCAAAAGCTTTCTTCTAAGAGCTGCCTTGGCCTTGGTGTCCCCCTCAGCTCTGGTGTCACATCAAAGCACAGAACAGTGACCAAGACCCTAACAACTATTCAAGGGGACAGCACTGGTCTACTTGAAAAGTGATGATGACAGTATCTCTGCTGTAAATCTCCCATTTATCTAAAGCAGGCAGACTTGAAATCCATGGCTCTGTAAAATATGTTTAATTGCTCAAAGTGTAATGTGGGAATGGGACCTAAAAGAGATTTACAGATGACAGTACATGTGGGGTGCTAATGTCGAAACTCAATAAAAACTGTTAAAATTTTCTGTTTGAGGTTAGTTTCTCTAGAGTGGTAGCCAGAACCACATGTGTATTATTAAATAGTTTTCTTTTTATTTCTCAAGAATTTGGAGTAAATTCTCACTGGTGAAGGGAGAGGGCTTAACCTGCTACATTAGATGTAGATATGGATAGATACAAATATATGCATAGATATGGATATGATATGGATGTGGATACAGATGTAAATACGGATAAAGATCCTTGCCTATACCCTTCAATCTGGCCAGCACTGGAATCTCAACCAAGAACCATCCTTCCTGTGACCCAGCTTCAACCTGATCAATGCCTCCTGATGACTTTCAGAGAGAATGTCCCTGACCCACCCACT